GTGTGTGGTGTAAGGAAATGGTCCAGTTTCATTCTTCTGCATGTGGCTGTCCAATTTTCCCAACACCATTTGTTGAAGAGACTGTCTTTTATCCACTGGACATTCTTTCCTGCTTTGTGGAAGATTAGTTGACCATAGAGTTGAGGGTCCATTTCTGGGCTCTCTGTTCTGTTCCATTGATCTATGTGTCGGTTTTTGTGCCAGTACCTTAACTGTCTTGATGATGACAGCTTTGTAATAGAGCTTGAAGTCCGGAATTGTGATGCCCCCAGCTTTGCTTTTCTTTTTCAGCATTCCTCTGATGTGCCCATATGTTGTCACGTACCTATGGTGTTCACTTTGTGTGAATATACTGAGATCCTAGCTACATGGTTTGCATCCCCAGGAAAAGCTTTGACCTACTGTGTTTAATTTCCTCTCAAAACATTCATTTTCAGACCCTTTTAGTGCATGTAAACCACCACGGGATTCTTGGGTTTCTCTTCATTGTTTAGTTTTTCTGAGGCCAAGCTCTGTTGTTTTATATGAACATTTTAGTTATAGAAACCTTACACCTGGCTCCTCTTTTATTGTTTTTTTGTTTTTTTTTTTTTTAAGGATTTTATTTATTTAACAGAGAGAGACATAGCGAAAGCAGGAACACAAGCAGGGGGAGTGGGAGAGGGAGAAGCAGGCTTCCCGCAGAGCGGGAAGCCCGATGTGGGACTCGATCCCAGGACCCTGGGATCATGACCTGAGCCGAAGGCAGACGCTTAACGACTGAGCCACCCAGGCGCCCGCTGGCTCCTCTTTTAAATAATCCATCTCTGAAACTAATAATATATTATATGTTAACTAATTGAATTTAAATAAAATAAAATTAAAACAAAACAAGTAATCCATCTCATTTTCCTATTAAACATAGTTGCATTTTTCAGACCATGCCCCAGTTTTTGGTTCTTAATATCTCATTGAAGCCATGGAACACTTTCTAAGCTCTCCATACCCGCAAACATGGCATTATCGGGATGTTTCACAGTTTTCTGTGGGAGTGTCAGGTTGTCATGGTATTATTATTTTTTTATTTTTTATTTTTATTCTTTTAAGTAATCTCTCTGCCCAGTGTGTGGCCTGAGCTTATGACCCCAAGATTAAGAGCCACATGCCCTACTGACTGAGCCAGCCAGGCACCCCTCATGGTATTATTTTTTAAATAAGAGGTTTGTTTATGGGCGCCTGGGTGGCTTAGTCGTTAAGTGTCTGCCTTCAGCTCGGGTCATGACCCCAGGGTCATGGGATCACGCCCCACATCAAGCTCCCTGCTCAGCGGGAAGCCTGCTTCTCCCTCTCCCACCCCCCCTGCTTGTGTTCCCCCTCTCGCTGTGTCTCTCTCTGTCAAATAAATAAATAAATCTTTAAAAAAAAAAAAAGAGGTTTGTTTATGTTAAAGACTATTAAAATTAAAGAGAAAGGAAGATTTTTCTGCAAGATAAAAGCTTACCATTTTAGTATATCTATACAGTGAAATCTTATTCAGCCACAAAAAGAAATGAAGAATACATGATACAACATAGATAAACCCTGAATACATTATGCTAAGTGAAAGACTTGGGACATATAAGGCCAGATATTATATAATTCCATGGATATGAAATGCAGGAAATTCATAGAGACAGAAAGTAGATTAGTGGTTTCTGGGGACTAGGAATAGGGGGATATGGAGAGTGACTGCTAATTGGTATGGGGTTTTCTTTTCGGGTGATGAAAATGTTCTGGAATTAGATAGTGGTGATGGTTGTACAACCTTATGAATATACTAAAAACCACTGAATCGTAAACTTAAAAAGGGTGAATTTTGTGGTATGTGGATTACATGTCAATTTTTTAAAAAGCTTACTATTTTAAAGTATCTCTATGTAAAGACTTTAAAAACATGGTTGTCACAAAACTGGGGTATGTGATAGTGGGTTACAAGGTAAATGATATCATCACTTTCTTACTGTATGACTTTGGATGAATTATTTAACCTCTGTAAGTCTATTTCCTAATCTTTGTTTTTTTTTTTAAGATTTTGTTTATTTATTTGACAGAGAGAGACACAGTGAGAGAGGGAACACAAGCAGGGGGAGTGGGAGAGGGAGAAGCAGCCTTCCCACGGAGCAGGGAGCCCAACCTGGGGCTCCATCCCAGGACCCTGGGATCATGACCTGAGCCGAAGGCAGACGCTTAATGACTGAGCCACCTGGGCACCCCTCCTCATCTTTTTTAAAAAGATTTTATTTATTTATTTGAGAGAGAGAGAGAGCATGCGTGTGCACAAGCTGGGGGAGGGACAGAAGGAGAGAGAATCCCAGGTAGACTCCGTGCTGAGTACGGAGCCTGATGCAGGGCTCAATCCCATGACCCCAAGATCACAACCCAAGCCAAAATCAAGAGTCAGACACTCAACCAACTGAGCCACCTAGGCGCCCTATATTTCCTCATCTTAAAATGGGACTAATATGAATACTTTTACCAGAGTCATTTGGAGGAGTAAATGTGATAATATTTATAAAGTACTAAACTTACGCATTCTGGCTTGCATGCCCATAGGGAGTCTTCTTAAGTATAATAAAATGTTGAAACTGTCATGATTATCCTAGGCCATACGTGGCATGAGGTTTACTTAGAAGGACATTAGAACAGGGAACACAGTTAACAAGCAGGGTGGCATCCAGCACTAGTATAATTAGTTCTCCCACCAGTATATGCCTCAGTCTGCATGACCAACCACAATTACTCTGTTTTGTTCCTTAAGTGAAAGGTCTGGGGTAAGAGAATGAGATTCCCATGTACAGGGGTAGCCATAGGCCCTAAAGGAGACTAAAAGCTTTTATTACAACTTATTTATTTATTACACCAGAGCTTCCAAAGTCTCTGCAAAGGACATGTCCAGATATAGGAATTACCATACTTAGAAGCCCGAGGCCAAGACTTTTCCATCAGATATTTATTGTGCATTTGTATTTTCTTCCAAATTGATGCAGTTTACCTATCAGGGTTCATACCCAGTGTTGCCAAATAACACAGTTGATTGACATTGTGTCTTTATCAGGTTTCTGTTGAAACACAGACCTAGAAAGTTAAGCAAGGGTCCAGTTTTCATGCAGAGGAGAAAGAGGTGAAAGTTTTTTTAACCCTTTATTTATAGCCTGACACTTGTTAAGTGCTCAATAAATATGCTCATAGGGAAGCTTCCGGGTTTTTCACTTACTGTAAAGTAGTCCTTTTCTTACCACTTAACAATTTCTGGGAAACTCCAGCCTGTATGTCACATGTGTAAGTTTATTTGTGCTTTATCCTTGCTATTCCAACATCCTTGCTCTAGTCCATGCTGTTCAGCCTGTCATAATAGTTCCTCACCAGTGTCTCCTCCTGCTTTGCTGAGCTTTTGTCAGTCTCCACCAAACTCTCTTTCAGGCTCAGAAGTTTTTCAGTGAAGGCTTCCCTGAGTTGGCCTCAGGTTGGTTAAACTTTGCAGTGGTTTGTTGCAAACTGGGAAAAGTGTTTCCCCTTTGGTTATCCAGAAGAGTTCTGAAGCAATGTTACTTTGGCCCCAATGTGTTATAAGAATTTATTGATTAAACATTTCTTTGAGTTAATTACGTCTGTCCCTTCTCCCAGAGTGTGTATATGTATCCAAAGAATTGAGTTGGCAGTAATTTTGAGCAGTAATTGTGACGTGGTACCCAGGTTTCTTGCTTCTCTCCTTCATCTTGGACTTACGCCGATTTGTCAGATTACACTCCTTCTTTCCCAGAGCAGGATTCTTCAGTACCCTTTGCACCGTCAGTTTAGAGACTTTATTAAGATTTTGAAGAGTGCTTGCTTTGGCAGTACATATACTAAAATTGGAATGTTGTTTTTTTGTTGTTTTTTTTTTTTAAGATTTTATTTATTTATTTGACAGAGAGAGACACAGTGAAGAGGGAACACAAGCAGGGGAGTGGGAGAGGGAGAAGCAGGCTTCCCGCAGAGCAGGGAGCCCAACCTGGGGCTCCATCCCAGGACCCTGGGATCATGACCTGAGCTGAAGGCAGACACTTAACGACTGAGCCACCCAGGCGCTCCCTAAAATTGGAATGTTACAGAGAAGATTAGCATGACCCCTGCCCAAAGAGTATGAAGAAATACAGAATTGCTTTGTTCTTTTGCCTTTAGTGCCATGATATCTCCAAAAATAAAAGCATTTTCATTGTTGCTCTTCTCATCCTTACCTTAATGTCAGTCTTTAGCAGTACTGAGGTTATTTCTCAAAGCAGAGTTGTTAAGCAAACTGGGACACTATTCAATACGTTTCTTGAGATGGGAGTACCAGCTGTTCACTGGATTTTAATTTGCAATTTGAAGGAGACTAAAAGTGCTGATTTTTCTCCTGGGTTTCCGTCCTGAGGGCATAGTGCATAGTCCTTAGGACAAATTCATTTTCGGTAAGCCTGAAAACTAATATTATAATAATTGCACTTTGTATTTTACAGTGTGTGGACCAGTTGACAAAGATCCAAACTGAATTACAAGAGACTGTGAAAGATTTAGCTAAAGGCAAAAAGAAGTACTTTGAGACTGAACAGATGGCTCATGCAGTACGAGAGAAAGCTGACATCGAAGCAAAGTATGTGTTTTAGCTTTTCTGAAAAAGTAATTATGCAAATAGATGTTATTTTTGCCAGTACTTTGTTTTCTGTTAATATAGGGCATAGACTCATTCTTAGGTTATGTTGGTTTCATCTGACCTATAAATGTTACATACTTTCAAATTTTTTTTTATATTGGCTGATCTCATTTAAATTAATACAGCAAAATGAGAATATTCAATCAGTTTTCACATTAAATTGAATTTTGAAAAGGAAAAAGGACAAATGAACATTGTATTGAAAGCTTAGCAAAAGCTGGTTGAAATTGCTATGGTGTCTGAGTATCCAGGTTTAAGAGCCTCATTTTTTTCATGTTAGACTCTAAATCAGTTGTTATTGGAAATCCCTAACCCTCAGCATGCCACTGAAAGCACCTTGGACATCTCAAATAAATAAGAGCACTGACCTCAGTATAGAAATCCTGCCCCCGGCACAGTTTCTCTCTTGTGTGAAATTCTAATATATATACCTTTTAAATGTATGCTTTAGCAACTCTGTGAATTTTACATTCAGTACATGTGAATCATAAACCCTTTATTTTGAGAATAATTAGGAATAGAAGGAACTGGCAGTTGGTAATAAAAAGAGATATAAAGTGAGCAGTACAGATTTTTGCTATGACAAGTTGAGGAAAGATAAGAAGTTTTTGAGAAAAAATAAACCTGTGCCATAGAATGAGACTCTAAAGAGGTCTGTTAGAAAACTGACTCTGAACTCCTAGTCATGAAATCAGAAAGGTTATGAACACTTGTACAGACTAACAACCAGTTGGGGGAGGCGGTCTTTCTAATATGTTTTTATCTACAGGAAGCTAAGCAAAATTTAGGGTTTCCTCCAAAGTTTATTTAGTACCAAGGACTGGTAGATGAATACTCCTAAAATACTTAACATTACTGGAAAACATACTTAATATTTCCCTAATTTAGTTTATTGTCTTTATTATTTTATTTTTGTGAGGATACAAATGTTTCTCATACTTTCATAGAGTCAGTGAACCCATCTTTCCAATAAGATCTGAAGATTTTAGATTAGGTGATCTCTAATAGGAATGTCCTGTCATGATGGTTTTTAGGGGAATTTGTTTTTTAAAACTTTCAGGGATTCTAGAACAGAGAGTTGACAGATCTGTAAGAGCATATATAAATACCTATGTTAGCCAAGGCACACAGAGTGAAAATGAGGACAATTCCAAGGCTGTTCCAAAGAAGTGTGGATTTGACAGCGTCTAATTCACAGATGCTCATCGCAAAACACTGCCTTCTAATATGGCCCAGATTCAAAGGGGTTACAGCAAATTAGACATTTTATTTCAGTGTGTAACTTTTCTGGAAAATTCATTCAACTACAGAGTAAGAAATGCCACTTTATCTTCATTCACTTTCTAAATGTTTGTTGAATAATTACTTTATATTGGGTACTGTGAGTACAGAGATGAGTAAGATAAACTTTGCATCTTCAAGAAATTTAAAGCCTAGAATTAAAGGCAAATGTGTTTAAAAGTAACTTTATGATTATTTATTTACAGTAAACTCAAATTAAGTGCCTGAAGTCACTCACGTAGTAACTAATATGTTTACTGTAGTTGTATGAAAACACTGCTTTGTAAGCATAGAAAATAAATTAATTTTGCCTAATGAAAAGGAAACCTTTATAGAAGAAGTGATGTTTGGACAGAGTCTTGAAGGACATGAGAAGGAAGCTCAGGAAGGGTAGGTAAAGACTGGACTGTGTATAGTTTTGATAGATGATTTGATAGTGAGATATGCATATTAAGAGAGCGTAAAAAGGAAGAGGGGTATCTTGAAAGGAAGGATGGGTTCCATTTTGGATATGTAGGTTCTGAAGAGCCTGTGGGACATTGAAGTGAATAGATTTGGTAGGGAGTCATGTATCTAACGCTCAGATGAGAATCTGGGCCTGAAGATCTTGCTTTGGGGGTTGATTGCCTATCAGATGACAGTTATAGGGATGAAATCATATATAAGATGAGAAATTGAGTTTGGGACCCCAAGGAGCGTTAACATTTGGAAGTAGATGATGAGGAGGAGTGTGTGGTACAATTCACTATTTGTATATATCTTATATGTTGTAGATCATAATCTTTGAGCATAGGAACTCTATTATTTTACCTGTTACTAATACCTTCTTAAGTACCCCACAAGAATTATATGAGGATTAGCAAATGAAATGGAAACCAAAAACTTAAAACCTTATATTGGAAAATCTAGGTGCAACTCAGACTATTTGGATAATGACTGCAAGGAAAAGGAGAATTGAGAATACCCCCAAACAATCTTTTTAAATTTGAACAGGCTCTCTCAAATTTTAAAGTTTGTGGCCTTTTCTGATTAATAAAAACAGACAAAACCCCAGGAAATTCAAATATGGCAAGGTAGAAAATAACAGGAGTATTTTGGACCCAATTTTTTTTTTTAACAGTGGAGAAGTAGTTTGGATGCATACGTGTACGTCCCTGAATGTTTCTCTTTTGTTAGAAAGATGATAGACTGCTTTTGCTATCCTCCTCACATGTGCTGTGCAGAGACTGGCTTGCTCCACCTTTCATTCCCAAGGGGTCTGCAACTTTACTTGGTATTATGGCGTAGCTTCCAGCACATGCACTGAATTCTCCCCTGGCAATCACCATGACACTGCAGTCAAGACAAACATTGCAGCTTCAAAAATCACTGGTCGTGGGAGTGTTGTTATTCCTTACTGTTCGTCTGTTGACTTTCTCCTTCTGGTTATCTCTAGCTGTTTGGGTAAAACCAGCATATTTTTACTATTGATTGTTAGATTATGTTTCCTTCCCAAACTGAAAGGGATTGAGGAAAATAAGGACATCAGAATGGGAGACAGTTAAATTGAACAAAATCATATAGGGCAGAGAGCCTAGGGACTTTCTCACTGTGTTCCAAATACTGTGTTAAGAGTGGAGGGAGCACAGGCTGGCACCCAAACAAGAAGGACGTTTAATGGGAGAAATAATGGAATTAAGGACTTTGAAGAGCCTGGTAATATCATACTGTAGGTTGCTTTGCAGGTGTTGTTACAGCCTATCGCACACAGCCCTGAAAACCTGCTAATTTTTGCCTCCATAGATTGGTTATCTCTCTGGTTTTCTTTAAGCTTTCTTGTAGGAACTAAAGTGTGTGTAATTGTATGATACTGGGAATAACCTATAGTTTGATGACTTTTGTTTATTATGAGATACCAATATATTTGTCAAGTTGTATTTTTGTCATTCAGGATATTTTTATTAAATATCCCAATATTTCCTGTTGCATTACAATATTCTTCCTGTAGAATAAATAAGGGAAAATAATCATTGCTCCTGGCCTTCCATTTTTTAGTTCTCTTTTGGAATAGCATTGTGGAAAAGCATCACTGTTTTAAAAATATGGAATTATAATACTTAATAAATTTAATATAATTTGATAACTGTATTAAACATGCTGTATTTTCTGCTTTATTATAGATCTAAACTTAGTCTTTTTCAATCAAGAATCAGTTTACAGAAAGCAAGTGTAAAGGTGAGTTTTTGAAAACCGTATTTCACAATTGAGAAACCTTAGCTTATTAGAAAAGAATTGGGTTTTTTGAGGGTTTAAGTCAATTATTTCCACCTAATTTAGAGAAGCATTTTAAAGTCAGTAACTTAGGGAAGAAGTTTCCTTCCCAGTTCATGGGCGTTTTCCGCCTAGATGTCAGCACTTTGGACACTGCTTGCTTCTCAAGATTGCTTCAGAGATAGGTTTCTATACCTTATCTGTTTTGGTAGCCTGTTATCCATAACTCCTAGTCCAAGAGACTTGGTCCACGGGCTTTAGAAAATCTACAAAATCTATTTCATTCAGATTTACACCCTTGAGCAGATACTCTGGGCCAGATCCAAGTGAGATCTTCCTATCAGACCCTTGAGCTGTAGAATACCTAAGTAAGTTTAGTGACCTGCCTTTGGCTGCCAGGATCCCAACTAGCACACCGTTCTTTTGGCACATGAGGAATGCTGATTTTTTAAAAAAGATTTTCTAACTCCAACAGATTTACCCATGTCTTTGAAGAGAACGTACTTAACTTAATTTGGGAACCTTTATTTTCCCATCTGAATAAAATGAGCAGAATACTTTGAAGTATTTTGAAAAGCTTTGGAAATATGTTGAGTAAATAACAAACGTGTGAAAACACTCTCACCACGTGTAACAGTTCTAATCATTGTTTATTTAATTCCTCATAGTGTTGAATAGTTTTATATGCAAATGAATATTTCTCTACATGGTTACCTTTAGTCTTATTGGGGAGCCATTAATTGCCAGCTAAGAATGGTAACCTCATATATCTTACAGTGCAATGTCAGTTTGCATTGATTTTTTTTCCTCTTTTACTGTGTTTTAGTTAAAAGCCCGGCGATCTGAATGTAATTCTAAAGCTACCCACGCAAGAAATGATTATCTTCTTACATTAGCAGCAGCAAATGCGCACCAGGATCGCTACTATCAAACAGATTTAGTTAACATTA